ACATGCCATTTTGCAAGAGTGAGGCAGACCGCTAGAATTTCCTCCATAAAGGCAGTAACTGGATGGATTCACGACCTACGTCCCAGCACTGGGTGCTGGTGGCACGTACCGTGGTGATTTTGATCTCTTCCAAGGTTTTGGCTAATTCAGCCTTCTTGAGCGCTAATTTCCTCTGCGCAAAACGTGTGTATTTCTCTCGGGATGATGGTGTCTCCGAAGGCAAGGGTGGTTTTTTACTCAGCGTAAACGCAACTGGGGAGACAAAAGAGAGGCCTGTGCTGATGTCACAGTCCAGTTTCAACGCCTTACATCTCTCCTCTCCTGTCGCGTGTGGCTGAGGGAAATATAAAGAACCGAGACTGAATTCAAACCTTCTGCGGCCCCAGCAGAAGTGGCTCGCGGTTACAGCCCAGGAGCCGAGCCTGCGCGGCGCTCCCTGCTCCTTTCTAGTTCTCCCCCCTTATTCTCAGCATTTCCCCTTGGGTAATTTTCTCTTTGTGGCTGTTGCTGAATGTCTCCCAGCAGAAAGCACTGGGTCCATGCAAAAGCGGCACCAGCGGGCGGGACAGCAGGGCGGTGTGTAAGGGAGCCTCTCCCAACCTGGCTTGGTCTTCTCCCCTTTCTTCTTCTTCTCCTCACCGGCGAGCGGTGGCAAGGTCAACCTGCGGGCTGGAGAGTTCCTCTCTTCTGCTTCTGCCTCCTGCCATCTGCTGTAATCCTAAACTCGGCACGGCAGCAGCACAGAAAAGACGGGGAGTCGGAGGAGGTTTGTAAGCAGAGACCTCGCTGACGTGACCCACAGTCCCGCTCCCCTCCGCAGCTCCTCTGGGGCTTCCAGGTGCCCCTTGGAGCCCTTTACCGGCAGCAAATCTCGGGCCTGTTTGAGAGACGCCGCCTTTATAACCACAGCGCAGTAAATGCCACAAACCCCGCGGGAACAAGAGACTTAACTATTCTCTTGAACTCCTCCATGCTCCCGGGAACCCGGCCCTGTGCATCCATCTCCGCCCAGGCTCTGGAAGGAAACGGCGTAACGGCGTTGAGGGGGCTGAGCCCCCCGGCTCTGTCCGTCCCCGCGGACCAGCCTCAGTGTCCGAAGTCAGAGCAGAGAGGCAGCGACACCCCCGGGGCTTGGTACCCTTGGGGAACCCCACCTTCACCCACCTCCCCCGCCCCACGGGGAGCCCCCTGCCCATCCCCTGTGGGG